AATAGTGGTGTCTTAGAGTCGTACTACAGCGATCATAAACCAGTTTTTGTGTCAGTAATTTAATATATAAATTTGGTAATATATGAACGATTAAAACGCTTATAGTTGAAATATTATTGAAACTATGGGAATATGGATGAATTGCAATCCTGAACGACACAAAATATCATTGCCCCCACTATTTCGGAGGGATGAACGTCCCTGCTTACTAGGGACAGAAGACGCTTTCCCCATGCAAAGTGACTTCAAGGCTTTAAAAAGGTAAGTTTTTTTCTAAATTTCATTTACTTTGTTTTAGTTGGTCTTATAGTTGTCTCCTTCGCAAGTAACCGCAAGTTTCTGTTTCCCAGACTTCTTTTGTATATTTAATGTAATTCTTTGTATAATTTAATTTTAATTCTATTATTTTATAGTGATATCATGACCATCGTGTTCAATGGAGATTATTTTATCTTTAAATATAAAGAAAAGATGAAGGCTAGGATTAAGGTATAAATTGTGATTGTAGTATGTATACGGTATATATTTGCAGATTCTACACCATGTATAAAAACTATGCATGAATGAATCTTTAAAAATAACGAACAATTTTTCAGAAACAATCCTACCAACTATATATCTTTACATCTAAAATTGTTTTCCCGTATAGACCTACCAATTGCATGGGTTGAAAGAACCTGCATGCTTAAAGGCTAATATCCACTCCGGAAAATTATCCGTGGATTGGAACGGACAAGAACATTTTACTTTGTGTTAATTATTCTTGACTTTATAAAGTCATTAGTTTCAACCCAGAGCTCACAAGATAAAGAAAAACTTTCTTAGCCGTTCCTATCCACGGATAATTTTCCTGAGTGGAAACTAGCCTTAAAAGCATTTAATTCAGTAAGGAGTTGTAATAACACTACCAGGATATGCTGAATAAATGTACATTTATATTGCAGATAAAATCACGGAGATCGATGAAGAAATTTGTATTGTACTCTTTAAAGTTTAAAACTAAACAACTGCCTTTCGCTGGTTGGAACCTCGGTTGGAACAACGTTGCATCAAAACATCGATTATACCTGCTATACAACGCCAGCCACTGACAATCGAATACAAGGAAACTACAATGCAATCATATATATACTATGCGATATCAACTTCAGGAAAAAAGATTCCAAGGAAAAAAGATTCCAAGGAAACCTCGACGTCAAATAAGACACGATTCCATCATCGATATTACAAAGTCAACACAAGAAATCGAAAGTTTAAAACGATGTTGAATGCTTATATGCATTACCTGTCAGTCTGTCACTTACTCATATCAAAGCCACATTATGTTAGCAAACTGCGTCTTAATTTAGAGAACTGTCAGAACTAATGAAAGTCAATCTGACAACACATATGTATATGTGTATGTATAGTTTTTTCTATTATTGCAAACTCCTTTCCTAGCTGTTACAAAGAACAATGCTGATTGAACCAATCATAATTTGCTCTATTCACGTTAGTTTCAATGCGGAATACTTGTAAAAAGACAACATTATAACAGAAATTATGCCTTGTTACTAACTATATGGGGAAATAAATAATATTACATAACTCTCGTCATTTTTTAATCGTAAAGTATACAGATTTAAACCAGATCTTAGCCTTTTTACTGTTGTAACAGTTCCGCGCGCTACTACAACAGGTCGACATGCATTTGCAGCGACCACCCTTGAAAAACTAATTAATTAATAAGTATGTCTTATAGCGTTTGTCTTTGAAACTCTGCACTATCCTTGGATCCCTAGTTAATTTACCTTATGTTCTGTTATTTTGTTGTGGTTTTGCCATTTTAGATCCGTTGTGCTCGCACTGATAATTATTTATCAGGCGTTTATTCATAGCGTGAAAGGCCACGCTATCAAAATACGTACTAAATTTAAATAATACTCAAACTGAAGGGGAGCCATTGTGCTCGCACGGATTATAGTGTGTATAGAACTTCAAAACTGCAGTACATTTTATAAGTAACACGAAATATAAATATGAAACAAAATTCTCAATACTATTGAAATTTAATACAACGAAATAGGGATATTAAACTTCAATCATAGTTTAATTATTTTCAATTTATTATGGTAACTAACCGTTTCCACCGGTTTTTATACCTTCAAAAAGTTGCAATGATGCTAATTTTGTAGGAAATAACATTTAGTTATAAATTTGTAAAGGAAATCTTGATAAAATCTTGACCCAACCTCGCAAGCCAAGTGTCGTGCGGAAGTAAAGACCCTGTCTTGCGAGGTTGACCTTGACCTTGTTATTACCGTCGCTTGCAACTAACGATGAACGGTCGCTAATTAAAACATTGCCTACTCGCGTGAGAATCTTAAGTTTACTTATTTTGACATAATAGCTGTTTTTCAGTAAATATCTTGATGTTAAACTTATTGAATCAATATTTTAAGTTTCAAGCCAGTTGTACCAAAAGTTATAAGCGCTAGCGCATCATAACGTTTCAGATGGCATGTAACATGTACGCATTGCGTACCTAGTTTTTACAAACGTACAATGCCATGTAATAAAAAACTTACTGACCTCAAGTAAGGTCAGTAAGATAGCCTGGGTTGGATATTTCCCCGTACTGCCCTCACTCTCGATCAGTAAGTTATTATTATTATATACCGGATATTATCTATTCTGCAATCTGATTGGTGTGAGATACTAGCAGGATATTATATCTTATTGAATTCGTCTGAGCCCAATATGGCAGAACATTAAGTCGAGATTGCAATATTGGGCGAGACAGAAGGTGGAGCCTGATATTGTCTATTGAAGTCGATACTTAATATTTTGCCGTACTGGGCGAAGACGAATCCAATAAGTGTTTTATTATACCGAACAAAAGAATTCCATGAAAAAATTGTTTTTTAAATGATGATAATATACGGAGAATACTATAATACAGTGCATGCCAGTTATAAACATTGTAAAATTTACCTTGTAATTTCTACTTTCCTTAACAAAAACGTGTCGAGAAAGTTCTTTAACCACAGCTTTTGCTCTTTTTCTCTATTTTCGGTCTATTTTTCTTCGTTTTGAGTAGTTTGAAAGACTTTTAGACACTCCACCTTCGACACACCTTCGTAGGGCAATCCAGCCTCGTCAGCAGCCTATCAAATTTCGCAATTAATCAACACAATTGCTTTCCATATAATAATATACATTCTCAAATCAATAATTCATGAGCAATTCAGCCAATGATAATCACCTATTTGATCACAAGATTCCATTTGGATAACCCGGTGAAACTTGATGAAAGTCACTACAGTGTGTATAAAAAAAACTGAACCCTTTCAAATTCAAATTAGCTATAACGTATTGTAGTAATTTGGCAGCTCTAATTGCTTTGAATTAATGTTGGCTAAGAACACAAGGTCTTGTACTCATGGGACGAAACCCAAAGAAATAAAAATTACTGACCCATGAGTACATGACCTTGTGTTCTTACACAACATTAATTCAAAGCAATTAGAGCTGTCAAATTACTGCAATACGTTATAGCTAATTTGAATTTGAAAGGGTTCAGTTTTTTTTATACACCCTGTATAGTGTTTCATCAAATATCTTAATTACGCATGCAAAATTGCTTGAATAGAATTCCTAATTACGTTATGCTCGGTTAAGAATTCTATTCAAATCAGCAAACGAAAACATTCTGTTACGTCTCGATTCATTTGAGAAGCCATATAAACAACTCGAGCTCGTGTCTCGCCGAGATATCCAAACACGAGAAAACAATGTATGATCATATATTACGTAACTTATTGGATTCTTCTGTGCCCATGCAATCTGGCAAAATATTAAGTCGAGTCTTCAGTATTGGGCGAGATCGAATTTCGAGACTTAATATTTTGATATATTTAATTTACTATGACCTCACGATGAATTTCGCGAAGACAAATTTTTCCGCGCTTTTATAAATTTAAAGAAAATTGGTAGAAATATTTAAAATCCTTTTCATTACTTTGCCTTACTGATATTGTTTGCTGTGTGTTTGAAATTGACAAAGTACAGTGTCTGAAAAGGTTTGGTAAACCAGGGAAAAAGCCACGATAAGCTAGTGTGCAATATATATGCTCCTCTCCTATATCGTAATTTGACTGCTGCAATGGACGTGTGTGCATCGAGCTCCGATCATTGTCGTAATTTGACTGCCGCAATGGACGTGTGTTCATCGAGCTCCGATAATGAACTCAGCAATGACTGCGATATTCAAGCAAAATATAAGAATAATGCAGCAAACTATCTTACAGTAAACGAAAAGGGCAAATTTAAATTGATTAATTGGTCCCTTCGAGGAACTTAAAAGTTTAATGAACGAGCTCACAGAGAAGGATTTAAAATGGACATCGCCGGGTGGCCATTGTAAATTGTTAGAATTAGACGAAGCCGAAATCAGACAGATGGTATTCAAACAATAAATCACTCACTATTAGCGGAAAAGCAAGCGACGATATTAAGTCTCAACTATACGGATTCTTGCTGACTTATCTCGGGCTGATACTGAAGTAACCGATGAAGGAAACAACAACGGTAAAGACGCGGTGATCGATAATACTAATGGCGAAGCACCGGAGGAAGCAAACAACAATGTTAAAGACGACGTGGTCGACAACAACATGGCAAACGACAGGTTCAGAGAAACATTGAATTCTACCGTGCGAGAGCTTGAAATGAGACTAGAGCGTAAGATCAACGAGCTTGCTAGCGAAATAAACGAGACAAGAATAGATTTATACAACAAAAAATGATCAGAGGAGAGAACAAAGTTCGGAACAAATCTATAAACAATGAACAGTCATCGAATTTGAAAGGATTTCTCGCAAAACAGAACGACAGTCAAAAGAAAGAGATCGACCAACTTAAAGAACAAATCAATAACTATAAGTGCATTACGTCTGATCTCAACCAAAAAGTGAGAGACTTAGATAACGAAAGAAGCAGCTTAATCACGGTTATTAAAATTTTACAAAATGAGCAAGAACAACACAAAACTGAGGCACTGTCAACGTGGAATATTGTAAACAGTAGGGATGTGCCGGATACCGGTATCCTATATCCGGTAAAATTTAGACGTCCGGCACTATCCGGTATCCGGTATAAATTTGCCGGATATTTACCGGATAGTACTGTAAGATATTTTGTTACAACCATGAAACGGAAAAGTTTACTTGGCGTTTCCAAATTGTGAAACATGAACAATTACTGAGCGTGCGCTGCATCACGACGAAATTACGACATATTTTTTTCGTGATGGTGATGTGAACTGCTCGTTCGCCAACAGCAGTGAAGTTTATATACTGAATACCAGTAAACAATGTAAGGTGAATCATAAGATATGGCCTTGGTAAAGCCAAAAAGGTCAAAGAGACAAAAAACTGTTGAAGTTATTGTATTAAACACATTGCCACATTGGACTAGTTAATTAATTAAGCTATAAAAATGCTGTGTTTCTAATAAATTATTGTATGGAAGTATCTGGTTATTATCCGGTATCCGGTTATTATCCGGTATCCGGTCATCATTTCTCCTGACCGGTATCCGGTAGACTACTATCGACACTGATATTTCATCCAAACATGGAGACACAGATATATCATCCAAAGCAACCTAAAATCAACACAGATATATCATCCAAACATGGAGACAAGCCAAGGCAAAGCGGGGACAAACCAAACCAATGCCGAAGCGGGCAAAACGCGGAAGGATCGAAAGACGCCAGCAAGCGAAAGGAAACACACAAGATCGTCAGCCAAATTTGGACGAACTGAAAGATAAAAGCGAACCCAAACCGACAAAACAAAGGCAATCTAACATTGTAATCTTAGGGGATTCAATGTTAAAACATTTGAATCCCCGACGAATTTAGCAAGGAATTGAACAAAAGGTCTCAATAAAAACCTTTCCTGGAGCTGGTGTTGATGAAATGACCCACTATGTTAAACTGACGCTCCAAAAGAAACCAAAGCAAATTATCCTGCACATAGGTACCAATGACCTGCAAACGAAATCGCCAGATGCGTTGATTAAAGCTGTAACAAAACTTGGTGAAGCTATAACCCAAGAAACAAGTGGTATTGAACTTACGCTGTCGGAAGTCGTCACAAGAAACGACGATTTACAACTTGCTGATAAGGTAAACATTTACAATAATAAATTAGACAATCTATGCACTGAACGCAATTGGAGATTTATTACACAGTATCACTAAGACTCGTTTAAATAGCTATGGTTTACACTTAAACCAAAGAGGAACAACTTCACTGGCAAGAAATATAAAACAGTTTTTAAAAAATCAATCCTTAAATTGAAATCTAGTCTGCGCACAGACTGTCCCTCCCCCCCCCCCCCCCCC